ACTATGACAGGCAGCATTCTTTCTACCCACTTTACAATACACTAAGTAAGGTGAGGGAGGAAACTGATGCTCAGGCATGTAAGACATTTAAGTACTTAAGGGCTGTGAAGCAGCAGTGCCAAGAGGACACTGGGACTCTAGAGCCCATATTCTTTCCCATTGTCTTATTTCACTTTATCCTCTTAGAAATTTTCTCTATTTTGAGATGTGAGAAATTAATTTTCTTTAGCAACACTGACCAGGATCACCTATCTCACACCAGCATATTTATAAAGATCCAAATATTCCCATTTCCTTACCTCCAGGGACATGAGAATTTACACATCCCAACTCCCGTCCCCCAACACTAGATGGAAGCAGCTTAAACAAAAACTAGACTTGATTGCATCGAACTGCAGGTGAACATAAAAAATAAAAATTCAAAGAAAAAAAAAATTCAGACCTGACTGAGCTGCTGATATGCTGGGTATCTCCACAGATTTGTCCTCGTCATTCCAGTTACAACAGTAAAACGCTGAGATAAAAATGGTCTGATGAACTATGCCTGGAGGCTTAAAATGTACTGCACTTTATCCTAAGAATCTTTCCTGACCCCTTCATGGTAGACTGTCTCTCCACTCTGTCCCAGAGTAGCCTACACATCTCTCATAAATTACCTATCTATAGAGAATGAGTTATTTTTACAACCCAAAAACCCAGTGGACAAAACTTGACACATAGTCATTACATAAATATTAGCTATAATGAATCCAGCTTGGATTCGAGAATAATTTCTGGCTTGGCACCCATAGTTCAGTGGATAGGGTGCCAGCCACATACACCAAAACTGGTGGGTTCAAATCCAGCCTGGGCCTGCCAAACAGCAAGGACAACTACAACCAAAAAAAAAGTCAGTGTTGTGGTGGGCACCTGTAGTCTCAGCTACTTGGGAGGTTGAGGCGAGAGAATTGCTTAAGCCCATGAGTCGGAGGTTGCTGGGAGCTGTGATGCCATGGCATTCTACCCAGGGTGACAGCTTGAAGCTCTGTCTCAAAAAAAAAAAAAAAAAACAACCACTGGGCTCCAAGAACAATTTACTGAACCATGACAAATACTCAATATGGTGTAACCTCAAAAATTTAAATAAAGTCTAACTTTCTCCCCAAAATCCATTTTAAAGATGGCAGAAGCCTTCTGCTCCCTCCAACAACCAATGATCTAAACTCAAAGTGTTTGGCTCCTTTATTTCTATTTCAATGGCTTTCCTGTCAAGAATTTGTCTATAATATGACATAAGTCTGAACAAGATCTATTAGTCTAGACACAAAATTGGGCACATGAAGTACTCTCAGTATCTGAATCTTTATCTGGTTGATAAACATGAGATAAGACCTTAATACGGTATGCTCGCTGCTATGGAAATTTCCCCACCTTTCAATGGAAATTTATCTTTGATAAATACCCAACATGCTAAGGACCAGTGTCAAGACCTTTAAAATTGTAAGCAAAACCTGCAGCTGATGTTTAGTCTATGAAGAAAGATAAAAATAAAGCAGATTATGGCAAGGATTGGTGGATCTGAGGGCGTAGCATATGAAAAGAAGGAATGTTTTTCTATGTTAGCAGATTAATGGAAAACCTCTAGCATGGCCACTTAGGGGCAATGACTAGATGCTAAGACTAATGAAAAAAACATAACATAAAAGATGGTCTGCTTCAAGTCTAGCAGAACATAAATCTTCATATTAGCTGAGATTTACTTAAGGCCCTGGCGAGGGGAAAATACAATATTTAAGAAATCTTTCACTAGGCCAGGTGTAGTGTCTCACGCCTATAATCTTACCACTCTGAGGCTGAGGCTGAGGCTGGTGGCTGGTGGACTGCTTGAGCTCAGGAGTTCAAGACTAGCCTGAACAAGAGCAAGACTGTCTCTAAAACTAGCTGGGTACTGTGGTGGGCACCAGTAGTACCAGCTACGTGGGAGGCTGAGGCAAGAAGACTGCCTAAGCCCAGAAATTTGGTTGCTGTGAGCTATGACGCCATGGCACTCCACTCAGAGTGAAAGAGTGAGGCTCAAAAAAGTAAACTTCTGGCTTAGTGCCTGTGGCTGAAGCGGCTAAGGCCCCAGCCACATACACCTGAGCTACCAGGTTCAAATCCAGCCCAGGGCCTGCCAAACAACAATGATGGCTGCAACCGAAAAATAGCTGGGCACTGTTGAGGGCATCTGTAGTCCCAGCTACTTGAGAGGCGGAAGGAGGAGACTCACTTGAGCCTAGGAGTTGGAGGTTGCTGTGAGCCGTGATGCTACAGCACTCTAACCCAGGGCAATAGCTTCAGGCTCTGTCTCAAATAAATAAACTTTTCACGATCTCAGGGTGGTGCCTGTGGCTCAAGGAGAAGGGGGCCAGCCTCATATGCCAAGGGTGGTGGGTTCAAACCCAGCCCCGGGGCAAAAAAAAAAAAAAAATTTTCACTATCTCAGGAGTAGCCAAAATAGATAAAAGACTAAAATAAAGCTGAATATAAATAGATGAATTTAAAATCAATAATAAAAAAAGTACATTCTGCTTAAATGTTCTCCATAATTTAACAAAATTAATTTCTAACACTCAGTAAACTTGAAACTTTTTTTTTTTGCAGTTTTGACTGGGGCTGGGTTTCAACCCGCCACCTCCGGCATATGGGGCTGGCGCCTTACTCCTTTGAGCCACAGGCGCAGCCCTAAACTGGAAACCTTTTCTTTCTCTTCCAAAAGTGCTACTCCTACCCAATAAATTCAACATGACCAAACACCCTTCTTCTGTCACTTAAGTTTGTAAGAACACCAGTCAGGAAAGAAAAGGTAGATCAAAAAGAGCCTAATTTTCAACAAAATAGGAGCCACACACATAGGCAATTCCCTAACCCCAAATATAAGAACCTCATATCCTGGCTCGGCCCCTGTGCTTCAAGTGGCCAAGGCACCAGCCACATACACCTGAGCAGGCAGGTTCGAATCCAGCCCCAGCCCGCCAAACAATGACGGCTGCAACCAAAAAGTATCTGGGCGTTGTGGCGGGCGCCTGTAGTCCCAGCCACTTGGGAGGCTGAGGCAAAAGAATTTGCCTAAACCCAAGAGCTGGAGGTTGCTGTGAGCTATGACGCCATGGCAGTCTACCAAGGGCAACAAAATGAGACTCTGTCTCAAAATAAAAGTAAAAATAAAAATAACACACTTATACTGTATGGTTTCATTGGTATAAAGTTCTAAAGGAAGAAATCAACCTGTGGTATAAGGACAGCGGTTATCTTTGGGGATGATTTGGGGAAAGGCCACAGTTAGGCATTACGAGTACTGATACTTCTATACCAGTAATAGTAATGTTCAGTTTATTGACCTGGGTGCTGATTTACACAGACTGGTTTCACTATATGAACACATAAAAACTCTACTTCTCTTTAAGTATGTGTATTTCAGTTGCAAAAAATATTTATCAAGTTGCTTGCTTACTGGAGAGAATCTGAATACATCCATATTATCTTTGAAACAAAAAGGAAAAACTATGTTCAGTCACCAAAAGTAAAAATGAAAATGTTGATGAAACAATCTATTTTCACTGGCTCAAATAAGAAGGCCTAACTAGAACTGGAAGTAGGCAAGCTCTCACAGGATTTTAGAGCTGGCAGCTAATTTGATGAGCAAATAGGAGGAATGCCTTCTAGGAGTGAGAAAAAATAGACACAATCCATTAGAGTCCTAATAAGCATATCTAAAGCACAAGTCTACTGTAATACTGCTTTGAGGAAAAAGGAGAAAAAAAAAAAAAAGCAAATTTGTATCCAATACCTATTCTAAAGGTCATCTACACACATTTGTAACCAGACCATACCTTATTTGCATTGCCTGAACTCTGAGGCCACTGTAATCAACCTCTTTTTGCTCAAATTCTTTCCATTCATCTTCTTCCTGTGAAACAAAAACCATTTCATCAATGAAAGCTATTTGTAAACATGCAACTTAACAAATAATATACTAGGAAAGGGAATCGAGTGGCTAAACCAAATATGGACTCATTTTCTGCCTACGGCCCTTACTAGATCCTTAGGAAACTAGACCCGATAGAGGACAAACGTGCTCAGTAATCTAACATTGTTACTTCCGCCGGGTTCCTGCAGGAGAGCTGTTACTTTAAAACTAGGAAAAGCAAAAGGAAGAAGTCAACAATAATCCCACAACTACATTTCTACCTCAAGGCCACCACGAGACTTTTTCTTTTACGGGCTTAGAGACCAAGTTATGACAACGAAGCTGCCACAAATGAAACTGTTGAGACAAAATTCAGCTCGAAGTACCGGGCTTAAGCCAGCACACCAAATTACTCCGAGTCGACGTCACTCGATAAATGCTGTGCCCGGCACTGCAGCCCCGAAACCAGTGCCCCTCGAGGGTGCTGCCGCCTTCATCGTGGCCAAAGCCAAGCGCCGCGAGGTTGTGGGGGCGGATGTCCAAGGGGGTCCCGGGTCCCGCAAGCCCAGCCCGACATGGGAAGCCGACGTCACGTGGCTGGCCCCCGAGCCCGCCCGCCGCCGGGCGCCCCGCGGCCCCTCCCGGACGCCTCCCCAGGCAGGCGGGGGCGGGCACAAGGGGTACGAGCGCGCGGCCCGGGCCCCGAGTGCCGGCCTGCCGGCCCTCTCCTTCGTCTCTTCTTTGGTTGCTGCCCCTGGGCCCGCGGCCCCAGCGCTCGCGGTCCCCGCGCTCCCGGTCCCGCCGTCTCCGGACCGGGGCCCCGCGCCCGCCGCGCCGCCCGCCGCACCCGCGGCTCCGCTGCTCCCGCCGGCGCTCCCTGCTGCGCCCGCGGAGCTCGCCGCCCGGCTGCTCCGCTCCTTCTTCTTTTTCTTGTCCCTCTTGGCAAAGAAGTTGTCCAGGCTCCGCTCCTCCGTCTCGGCCATTGCCGCGGCCTCCTCGGCCCGGATGGGTGGGGTCGGCGGCGTGCTCTGCCCGCAGGTCTCGGAGCTCGGGGTCGAGGCCGGCTCTGCGCTCACGCTGCCCGGCGCGGCGACGCCTCAGCCCCGCGGGGTCGCCGAGGCGTGTGCGGCGGGGCGTGCGGCTCCCCCCGCGTGCTGGCGAACGGTGGTACGGTCCGCCGGGGATATCGCGCGCCGCTGCCGCCGCCCGAGCCCGCCAGGGATGCCGCTGCTGCCGCGACGGCGGTGCAGGGTCCCGCTCGCCCCACAGCCAGAGAGGAAAAGGGACGCGCGGGCCAGAGGCTCCGGAGAGAGTGCTCGACTAGCGGCGGCGCGTGCAGGAGGAAGACGCGCGCGCACAGGCCCGGAGAGGAGGGGAGAGGGGGTGGGGAGGGGAGGGAGGGGGAGGAGGGAGGGCGGGCCACCAGAAGCGAGAAGCAGCGCCCGCGCCTGCGTACTTTGCACCGCCCGCCGCTGTGGGAGCTTGGAGGGGCGGGCGGCGGGAGGAGATGGAGGCGGATCTGAAAAAAGAGCCAATCAGGTGCCAGGACGAAGTGCTTAGGTGACAATCCGTGGCTCAGGCAGGGCGGGGCCTCGATGTGGGGGCGGGGAGAGGAGGGTGTATGCAAATAGTGACGTCCCTGAAGACCCCAGCGTCCGGATTGGCCGAGGGTTTAGCCTTGAGGGCGGGCTTTTAGGGGGCTGGTGAGTGACTTGGCTAAAGCGGTCCAGCGGGAGTGGCGGATGAGTCCTGTCTGGGCGCATGCGTAGGCTACACGTGTGCCTACCCTCCCAGAGCGATCAGTGTCCTGGTAGTCGTTTGAACTTTCGTGAAACGGAAAGGCGCTGTGTTAAACCAGCTATGTTAAAAGATTATTCCAATCCCTCTGCTCGCCTCTGTACTTCCACCCTCTCCTGTCTGGTAACCATTTCATCTTTTCGGGATGATTATTATGAAAGTGAAAGGAGCGGTGAGCTTGAAGTTTAGGTCCTGTTTGCTAAAAGATCTTTAAAAAGCCAGTAGGAAGGTAAAAGAGGATTGATTTTCTGAACTCTGACCTCTACTAGATATGTCTACCAAGGTTAAGTTAAATAAATCTGACGTTCTAGTCTCTCATCTGTATGTAAAGTGGGTATACTAGCTCTTGCAAAATGAGGGGAGAAGAGTAGCTGTTAGCTGCCCAGCACAATGGTTAACGTGCACTGGATGTGAGACAGATGATTTTTTTTTTGAGACAGCGCCTCACTTTGTCGCCCTGGGTAGAGTGCTTTGGCGTCACAGCTCATTGCGACCTCAAACTCTTGGGCTTAAGCAATTCTCTTGCCTCAGCTGCCCAAGTAGCTGGGACTACAGGCGCCCACCACAAGGCCCAGCTAGATTTAGAGACGGGGTCTCGCTTGATCTTGCTCAGGCTGGTCTTAAACTCCTGAGCAATCCACCCGCCTCGGCCTCCCAGAGTGCTAGGATTATAGCACCATGCCCAGCCTGACAAACGATTTTTTAATACGTTTAGAGAGTAGCTTTACCTTGACTTCAGTCTGGGTGACTACTACAGTTTAGCTTCTTCTATCCTTGATAGAGGGGAAATGCTGTACCATAGGGGCAGAAAGCACAATGCCTTTGCTAAACTTGGCTTTACTGTTAAAGTGCGCTTGTGGCCTTGAGAATGAAATGAATTCTTGTGTATATAAAAGGCGGTCTAAAGGCGGAGAGAGCTGTCACAACACTGAGGAAATGACTCAGATATATGTTGGTAGCTCTATCGTGTAGATAGATCTCAGCTAGTACATGGAGTGACTTCTTTTGTCTTTTTCCTTTACATTTTCCCTGTCATTTTCTGTATTAAAGAAGCTGTGAATATGTCAAAGAAGTAAAGGACCTAGCCTTGGCCAACAACAAGCTCATACTGTATTGTTCCCCCAAACAAACTGCTCCAAACCACCCAGGAGGGTTCTAAGTAATTTCCTTCTGTGACACCACATGTCTTTCTATGATGTAGGCCAAGTTTAGTACTGCCCAGCACCACCACCACCCCTTACCATCTCTAATCAAATTTGTTTTCCTTCTTTTTTTCCCTTTTTTTCTTCCCTCTTTTTCTCCCCCCTCTTTCTTTTGTTCCTAATCTATGAAGCACTTAATTAGCTGCATTTAAGGCTGTAATATAAAGTTAAGTAATTTGTGATTCCTGACTTCAGTTACCTTATAATCTAGACTAGAAAATCTAGATATAAATAACTGAAATGCAGTTATTTATAGCTTTTTTAGGTCCCCATCAATACATCATTGTCTTCAGGGGATTAATGACTTGAGAAAGTGCAGAGAAGGAACAGCAGATGAGAGCTGACCCTGTGGAATTTCCCACTATATTTTTTCAGTGTGACTGATGGCATGTACCCAGAACTGGATCATATGTAAGAAATTCAGGTCAAGCTTGTAGAGACCAGTGTCGTTATGGCTATGTCATATGTGGTGATTCTCTCCTACGTGAAGCTGGTCCCTTTCTCTTTGCAGCCCCGGCCTGTCCCATGTATTCCTATCAGTTACTCCTCTCCTCTGCCACCCTCGTCTGCATTGGTTACACAGTGCCCCAAACCTGCCATCTCCGTCGTCCTCACCATCACCAGGCCCCCATCTCTGAAGCATCCTCCGGGTCTTTTGATGAAGGCGTCTTCCTCTCTACCTTCCATTGTAATTGAACCTTCCTCCTCTGTAAAGCAAAGTGGATCTTCAGTTATCCTTATCAGACTGAAACCTGAAGAGGAATGAGAACTCTTCCCGGGTATTTCAGCACATCTTCCAAGGTTCCTACTGCTATCTGAACATATGAACTTCTGTCTGGGTCCTCTGAAATTGTACAATCCAAAGGACATCATTTATCTCCCTGGACAAGGCCTGCTGAGCTCCAATATTCCATGAGCTCAAGAGCTGGCAAAGGTCAGCTGGACCCAGCCCCATTGTTTCTCAGTTCTTTTCTGCTGAGCTATTTGTTCCAAGTTCCATTCTGCTACCTAGGCTGGAAATTCCACTCATGCTCAGCTCAAAGGAATGCAGCTCATGCTGGCCAAAGAGCTCACCAGGAAATGGGTGGCTAAAATCCTTCTTTTCATTTGTGGCTTCCTCTCCAACATCTGTGAGGCAAACTATGCCACTGCCTGGGCTGTTCTACCCTTTTTCAAATGGAGAGCAACTACTTGTCACCGCCTCTGGGGAAGGTCTCTTCTGATTCTCTACGGTAGCTTGATTTTCCTGATCTTCAGTAGCTCAGGGTTCTTTCATTTGATATGCTTTGAAGCCTTCCATCTGTTTACATTTTTATTATTTACTCTCTGTCATTCATTCATATAAAACATTTATTTAGTGAGCACCTACTATATTCCAGGCCCTATGGTAGGACTTAAGTACTGTATACCAGCTGGTAATTAGAAGCAGACATACAGGTATACATAAAATTACCGCACATTGCAAACTCTTTTTTTTTTTTTTAGACATTCTCACTTTTTTACCCTTGCTAAAGTGCTGTGGTCTGACCCAAACTCTTGGGCTCAAGTGACCCTCTTGCTTTAGTTTTTCATTTTTAGTAGAGACAGAGGTCTCTTGCTCAGGCTGGTCTTGAACTCATGAACTCAAGCAATCCATCTGCTTCATTCTCTCAGAATGCTAGGATTACAGGCGTGAGCCACCACGCCCAGCCTACATTGCAAACTCTTGAAGGTAGAAATAGTGTTGGCCATGCACCTACATTGTGCAAACATTTGGCTGATGTTTGTGAAATGAAAAATGTCTCTATGAATCCCCAATTGTCTCTATTAACAGAGGCAGGCACAAACCATTGACTATTGCAGTGTTTCTTTGTTGGCTTCTGAACACATACGAACTCTGTCACATATAACAAAGAATTCAACCTTCTCCCTTAATCTCAAGTCCCTCCTTAGCTCATCCCTGGCATTGAGGTCCTAATTGGACAATGCATGGACAGTAAGAAGAATGAGGCCCCAGACACCAGTGACTACCCAGAAGAGCTTATTTCCAGAAAGATGGAGAGGATTGCTATGCATGCCTCCCTGCCCTGCCCCCTGATGTAGACACACACACAAATACCTACCACCAAGGCTGGCAAAAGGGAGTCGGACTCAAATCCACCCCCAAAGGATCTGGTTTTCTGTCATTTGAACCACCTAAAGCTTCTGCTTTTTAACTATTTTTGAACTACTAAAACAATAATTTTATAAGGGTCAACCCTTATTTGAGAATAAACCAAAAAGTCGTATAAATGAACAAAGAGCTTGGGAACAACCTACCCTTCCATCAGGGTGACTTCCCTGATGTGTGTGTTGGAGGGGGAGGGCTGGGATGTGATGACAACTGCATGATCAGCAACCTAATCAATTTTTCTGTACAGAGAATGTGTGAACTAAAGGATGGGGAATGAAAATAGAAAGAGGAAGGAAAAAGAAGAAGGATAAAGCCAAGAAGCCAGAAGTTGGCACTTAATTGCTCATCAATGTCCAGGAAAGAACAGCATGAAATTGGTGCTCACACAGATGTGACCTGCTGGGAGGTGGAGGCAGTTAACAAGGCCCTACCCTGGCTTATATGAAATACCCCTCAGAAGGTCAGCCTCCCTTTACTTCCAGGATACACTCACCAACCAGCCTACTGTTGACTAATTTGGCTTCCTGGGATTGCGATGCTGGGAAAAGGGTGTCCTACTTGATAGAGGAACATTCCAGTTTATGAAGGACTAACATCAACTGTTAATGAATATATTGGTACATGGTTATATGCTTTGGCCGTCTGTGAGGAGTCAGGAGGATAGCTGGGAGTCAGGATTCTCCAGTAAGATAAGCTCACTGGACACTGACTTGCCTGTGAGCCAGGTTAAACTCTGTGGCAAATTCACCAAGGAAATCTACCCTGGGTGGCTACTTTGGAGGCCAGTCAAGTGACTCTGGCACAAAGCAAGAACTTCTGACTCAATCATTTTGATCACAGAGTACAAAGGATATAATTATGTTGGCAAGGCACAATTATCCTGTCCCTGACCCCAACTCCATTCCTAATGCTACTTCGTAACCCAACAACTAGATGCAACGTTGTCTGGCATTTTCTGCTTCTGACTCAGAGCTTACCCAATTGCGGTTACCAGGTTAGTAGGGCAATGGTATTGTCCTCCTTGGGCTGAAAAATGCAAGGAGAGGGTGTGTGTGTGGGGAGCACAGGGGGCTCTTCCCTTGCCCAGTGGAAGGCAAGTGCTTTGCATTGTCTCAGCAGCCCTGCTGTTTACTCCATGGTCAAGCGCATGCTTTTCGGAGGCAGACCTGGCATCAGGGCACAGTTCTGCCTCCTCCTAGCAAGTCACTTCACATCTCTGCATCTCACACTTTTTTCATCTGTAAAGTGGTAACAATAAACAAACACACTTGTTTTGTGGAGTTGTGAGGAGTGAATGAGAGGATGAATTTAAGGCCACTCAGTTCTGTTCCTGGCAAACAGGAAACACAATTAATGTTACATTTAGTG